GTAGTTGGGGCCCATGGCAGTCAGCCCGTAGTATGTATACATGATAACATGGACGATGCAGTTAAGAAGAGCGTGGAACGTTCCCAATCCACCTGAAACAAGGAGTGCATCTGGATTAACGTCACGTTGCCAACAAAAAAAAAAAAAAAAAAAAAAAAAAGGATTTGGGTAAAGACAGTTCTGCTTTGTCAAAGGAGATTAAGAAGTTTACCTGGGGCAAAACGAACCCCAAACCACCAAGTGAAGGGCATAATGGAGTGATGGTAGACATGAAGAAATGTCACCTGGCTATTCTTCTTCCTCAACACAAAGAAGATCTGAAGGAGATCAAAGTTTCTGTCAAAAACTGACCAAATAAAGAACAATAATATGGTGAAGAAATCAACAGCCTTCTCACTTACCGTGTCGAGCATCTCGATAAACTTTGAGAAGTAATAAAGCCAGCATGTTTCTGCCATCTAGAGGACAAAGTTCAAATCAAATTTAAGCAAATATTTCATGAAGACATGTTTGCATTGAGTTTAGAAAGAGTAGTGTTAAAGAGGTCGGTTTAAAAAAGCGAGCTTACTCTCACAGCCTGCGGCGAGTTGGAGTAGTCGACAAGGTCGCAGCGAAATGAATAGCCAGTTCCCCATCCTGACATCACAAACTGGAAGAAAACAAGTTATGAGCTAGGAAAGATTTACAGCTGCAGTTCATATCAGTCAAAAGGTTATCCAGCATAATCTTATTTAAGAACTTTAGGATAAAAGAAAAGTTTTGAGCAGTTGTGGAGTCAAAAGTCTGAGATGAGGAAATTCACTCATCTTTCAGACCAGTTCTGTGCACTCTGATATGAAATCTAAGATTTAAGAACGATTTCAGTGGCTGTGACGTTTCAAGGTAGCTGAGACAAACAAAAGCCCAAAACACACCTCATAGCACATGTAGAGCGAGAGCGCCACCACGCTGAAGTTGTAGACAATAAGGACTCCTTTCAGGTCAAAGCCTTTTCGATTTTCCATCATCCGAGGCCCCAGCGACGTGACGAAGAAGATGTAGGCTACGATGATGATCGTTTGGGGGAGAGGAGATGACATGAGCAGCCAGTTTTCTGTCCGCGAGTCTGCAATAGGTTCAGAAGGTTAGAAAAGTTTGACACAAAATGGGAACGAATCAAAAGAAAACAAGTTAAGTTTGTGACAAGCATTTACCTGCATTTTGCATGAACCTATCATAAATGAGTGCAACAGACGTCTGGATATTGGAAAGCTCCATTTTCAGGCAAGATACTAGTCGTTCACCTAGAGGAGGAGAAAAAGGTAAAGGGTTAGAACAAACAAACTAAACTTCCACATTTCAAAGCTTTGAAAGACAGGACATTAACTACTAACACATGCATACATCTAACCAAGGGCAGCAACAGGGAAGAAGACAGTTAAACTGACTGAGACTTGCAAAAAAAAAATGTAAGTCATTTCAGGAAGTAGCTCAGGCATGTGGCAAGACCTGAATTATGGTTATCAAGTTATTAGTCATACTGAAGAACTAGAAAATTGATCAATATATGAAGGAGGGGTCTTTTCCTAATCAGGAAACACTAAAAAGACCCCTCCTTCATATACTGATCAATTTTCTAGTTCTTCGGTTCTTCTCCTTGCATCACTTCTTTCAGAGAAAGGCAGAAATGGGCATCACTAAGACTCAAACATAAACACCAAAATAAGAAAAATTACCTGAAAAACTAGATGTTTATGTAAGTTTATGCAAGCAATTTAAACATGATCTCACTGACGAAAAAAAATAAAAAAAATCAAGTATTAAGTGAATGAGGTAAATGCTTACACTTTGACCAACCTGACAGGTTAGACCAATCATTAATCGTAGAAAATACAGCAATAGAGAACATCTGGGGTGGAAGAGGTGGTCATAGCAACAGTTTTAAAAAGGTAAAGTCCATTAGATTTTATTTTAGCACGTTTAAACTATGTCTGAGCGGTTGGGGTGAGTGGAAATCACTGAAAAAACAACCACCACCCTTGTGGACAGGTTCCAAGGTGTGTCAACCTTGATTGCAATGAAAATGAACCTGTCTGAGTTTCAACCCTAACGAACCCAACGGCAAGCCCCAACATGCCCAACTCCCCCCCTTCCTAAGGATGATGATGATGAAGATGGTGATGGTTTAAAAGGCTCCTGCTCTCAAGGCGCGCCTGATTATTAAAACCTGTACAAAGTTCACGAGTGAGAAAAACAAACCACCAGTTCACTTTCAGCTCCTTTCAGGTTTCCATGACTCTCGGTAACGGAAGTTACCGAAGCGAGCCGCTTCATTTAAGTCCATTAAACAAACCAACGGTCGCTTTAAGATGCCGCGTCCTCTTTTTTTTTTTTTTTTTTTCAAAAAAGAAAAAAAAAAACTAACTTCAAACTTTCAACACTCGACATAATAAAAGAAGAATTTGCACACCTTTAATGTCCTAACAGAACGCAGAATCCCGCTTGGCCCGTCGAGGTTATCCTTCCAACTGTTGTCTCTCAGCAGGTGTGCTCCCCCTGCGTCACTTTCTGAGCCGCCGTCGGCCGCTCAGTCCTTTTGATCCAGCGACAAGGGGCGGGGCTATCCACGAAGAACGGCCCCTTGCGCAGCTGATTGGACAATTTGTAGTCAAACGGGTCAAAAACGAAAAAAGGGTCATTCTTGAGTGATGTCACACAGAAAACTATGTACTATTTAGTGAAAGAACAATACATGTTCAACACACGTAATAATTCTGGATTGAAAGAGCACCAGAAAAAAAGGGGGAAAGTGAGCAATAGTTCTGGGTATTTTCCACTAGCTTACCTACTCTTCTCAAAGCATATTGACAAAAAGATCTAAATCAATATATCTGATCAGAACAATGATTACAATCAGCATTTTTGCTTTAAATGTTTACACTGTTTCTTGTGCAAAAGTGTAATACTGGGAGGGTGTGGTGTCATGTAGACAGGGAGGTTTCAGGGCCCCTCCTTGCTCCTGGTTTCACCAGGGGTTGACTAAGAACCTTATAAACAGATTTAAATGTCCCCTAAAATGACAATAGGAGAACCTGTGCTTTGAAAGTATGGTTTATACAAACTGTTGGTAAACCATCTGCAAGAGTCAATAACACAAAACTTCTGCAGGGTAATCTACTCTGATTAGTCCTTAGGTGTGAATGTGTTGCATCCACTCTTTTTCATGTGTACCTGTATTTCATTTTAGGCTGGAGACATGTGTGACTCTATGATCAGAGGTTTAGAGGTGGGAAACACATTTTGACACTTGCTCATTGCTTTTTCAAGCAAAGCAGGAGCAGCCTTTGAAAAAATAAAATAAAATTCCAACCATTTAAAGCTTTTGAACCAGTTTTCATGAAAGGCTCTTTTTTGTGTGCCAAACTAAGTGAGTGGGAATTAGAACGGTTCTGTAGCCTTATTCCCTAGATACTTTGGCTTGGTGACAGCCACGCTGCTCTCTCTGCATCTCCTCCCCCTTGTATAGTCAAATTAAGCAAATAGTAAAGATGATTATGAAAATGTAATAAAGATGTCTAGTTTTTCTAGTCTTGACGGTGAACTGATATGTAAATTGTTTTGGTGCTTCTGGAAAGGATTAAAAATGGAGAGATCATCAAAGCAATGTGTTTGAGATTATTACAAGATGTAAACACTGATATGAGCTCACCTTTATCTGGCTCTTTTTTTACAAAAACGAATGTCCTTGATGAGGCCGTCTGCTCACACACAGCTGGATTGATAGTTTAATGGGTATCCTGTTAGCTTGTCATATATCTTGGGAAGTCAAGTTTAAACAACACAATGGTACTAAACACCTGTAAGATCAGCTAACTCCTAATTAATCTCACACAAAGAGTAACCTAAGTTTAACCTCAACAAACAGAAGGACTGGTAATAATAATATTTTGGTATTGAGTATAGGTGAAGCGCTGTGTAACAAGTCCTGAATCGATGGAACCATTTAAAAGGCTGGGGGTTACAATATAACTTTTTAGACATATTACTGTACAGTTTTTACACTTTTATATAACTTTCTTTTTTTTTATTTTTAAAATCACATACAGTATAAAAGACAACTCAGATTTTAGGGGTGCCTTGATTCTAAAAACGCCTATGACTGGTGGCCTATCTAAGTAGTCCATTTGTATGACTTAAAAGAAAGGCCATCCGTCATCTAAACTAGATTGTCGTTGCAGGGCTGCAAGAGAGCTGGTATCTATCTCCACCAGTCATCGGGTAAGAGGTGGGTTACTGCTACTCCCTTATTACATTTAATTTTGTTTTTTGATAAAAAAGACAATCAAGATGAATTTAACCTGTCCATTTCTCAGTGAACGTTTTCACATTTTTCACGTGCTTTGAAAACACATCAGATCTCAATGGGGGATAAAAAAAAATCATGGTTTTTATTTATACTGATATGGAGTGGGTGATGTGTTAGGAACAAAAGGATGCAACATCATTTGATGGAAATGAAAATTATTTTATACAAAGTGTTCCTTTAATTTTTTCGAGTAGTGTATAATAAACACAAAAAAATGGTAGAAGTGTGATATCAATTGCAAATGATACATGGTTTTCAATTCTTATTGATCAAATATATACAAAATTGTGCCATACATTTGTATTGAGAAACCATTTTGTTTGGCATTTCATAAGAAAAATTTATTGGAATTTATTTCTTTCCATAGTACAAATTCAGCTGGTTTGTAAAGGCCCAGCGTGTTTGCTAGAGAAGACTGGAGAATAAGGGCCAAAAAAGACCGTAGATAGGTGAGGGATACATTTACTTACATTTCAGAGAGTATAGCTCAAATGCCAATTTATCGAAATGTGGCTGAGCAAAAAGAGCATTAACTGGAGTAGCAGCCAAAAGGCATGTGGTAGCTCAGGAGGGCGTCAAATGGATAAAATTAAAACACAGGTGGTTTCTGTCAACAG